TTAACGACACAAGTCTTTACTTAATAAAACTGGTTTATTCTTTCCGAATATAACTCTGCATACACTTAATCTCAATACTCGCGCTGAAACAACACTGTAACGAACGAACGTTAACTTCAACAATACCCTGTGACTGCAGTTCAATTACTCACTATCTACACACACATTACATTATATTCCCGTCACGTTGTCACCCTCCTTTATATACCAGTCTACCCTCCATCTAGTAAATACTAGAGCATTCGCCAAGATACGGGATAGTTCTAGAAACAAGAGGGCGTGTAAATTGTCACGTGATCTCGATGACGCAACAATATGTTGAAATGTTGTACTTGGTAAATCCTTATTGATTGAAACATGCAAAAAAACTGATTCTCAAAAACATATTCCAACTTGGTCAGCTGAATGATCCTGTAAATTATTAATTATGATTGTAAAGGTAGTGAATTTTATTATGAATTTCGGGGTCTTCTCGTTGGACTGTATTTCTGGTTTTGGTTTTGTTAATCTGCTGAGCTGAAGAAGCAGACTTTAATTTGGGCATTTTCAAAATTGAAATGTGTTGCTGGTAAAACGTGATTATTATAGTTATAGAAGAGGGTTCTGACTGGACAAAATTTGGGGATGTTGCATCAATGTGTCTCCTTGACAACCAAGCAAATATAATGGGGAATTTCAGCTAATGATTATAATTTTGTGTCAGCAATACCAAGCATGGGGCGTGTGTATACCCGATTGGATTTTATTACTCATCACAATCTCTATCAAATTACTCTGAAATCTAATTATATGCCCAAAGTAGCACATCATCTGTTTTATAAATGTATCGATCAATACTGCAATGGCTGAGATGTTGACATGACGGATGGACAGCTTTCTCATCTTTATATAGTAGATGTGAAATATATATGACATAATGTTATGAAATAAAGTGTAATAATATTTCTTCTTTCTTTTTCTAGTCTCTGGATCCAAACAACCACTTGACATCCTTTAACCTCAGTATTTTAAGTGGAGATCCAGCTACAATGGAGATTGGAAAGTTTATTGATTACAAACTAGAAATTGTGGTACCTCAGACTTCTATGTTGGACCTTATTGTAGAGATCTTCACCAAAGAAGTGGCTGATTCATCATATACACCTGGTCTAGCCTTGTACAATGTTGTTGTAGGTTCAAAACCAGATGGTGTGGATTACAGTTTGATATTACCTGAAATCACTCCCATTGTTAGTGATGATATTCCTAATGTGGTAAGGAAGAAATCTGTGCACACATTGGCTCTGAATATTTATCAAAGAAAAACTGAAAGAAATATTCTTAATATTATAGCTATATATTTAGTAAAATTTGTGTATCAACCTTTTTAATGAAAAATATTTGTTTAAAGAAATCTAACAGTATAAGTTTGGTTTATTCTTTTTTAAAACTTATCTGCAAATTAAATATGGTGAATTTTCTAACAGAATATTTATTTTAGTGTTGTATTTATTGATAAGGGATCGAATATGTACATTTTTTTCTTTTTGTGACGGGCTAACTTGATACACATGTGTCACATACCTTTCATAACAATGCCTGTAGTGTGATACTTTCAGATCAGTTGATTTCGCTTAGATAAACAAGATACATTTGCAGAATAATGAAATTCAAGCAAAATATTTATCATAAAATAATCCTGATTTCTCTAAGTAAGTGAATTTTAGAGAAGGAAATAGAGAGACTGGACACAATTGTACAAAATACAATAAACAATCTATATCATTTACAAATACAAACACGGTGTCGGTATTTGTTTTTCATATGACAAATGGTTACTGTATTAAAACTAATTTCTTCCTAAACTGCTGTGATTAAGATCTTTTTCCAGACTAGTTAGTTGGTAATTTGTGCAACAACTGATATAATTAGAATTTTGATTACACGATTGTTGGAATAATCAAAACAGTAATAACTGGAAACATCAATTTCAGTTAATCAATTTAATCATGATTTTGATTAATCAGTTACTTTATGTGACACCACTGGAAGTAATTGCTGCTTATAGATGATCGACTATATCAGTTAATTTGATTAAATGGCTCAGCTCTATCCCAGACTGGTTAAACCTTATGTTTCTTAGTAATGTAAGATACACCCAGAGTAACTAGTGCTACACATATGACTGGTCATTCCAATTTGAAAATAACAGAGGTTGTAATCTTGAAATATTACCTAACTTACCATTCGAGATCACTGCTGTCTAAATTCTTGCATAAGTGCAGTTTTACAGCCATACCTACAATTGATATAACAGGAGTTATCTTAAGGAAATGACAGAGAACAAATGTAGCTAGAACAAAACCAATCTGATGACTTTCTTGACTACTGCACACACACACTTACAATAACTGACTAATTTTGAAAACAATATATACTGAAACAAGAAGGAAGAACAACTTATTGATTCCTGATCAATTCCATGGTATGCTATCATGACATGTGATAAGTGTCAGTATCTTCCAAGAACTTACTGTTCTGTCGTGGATATTACATGCCTCAGGGACTCAATTCCCTATTTATAGTTATCATTCTTTTTGAAGTGCTTCTCAACTTTAGCAGTCTTGGAGAATTTGGCCCCAAAACATATGGTAGTATGAAACAAAACTGAGAAAAGTTTGGACTTTTTACTTGATCATATAGGTTGATGCTAATCTCATGCTCTTGGAATTCATACAAGCCATTTGTCATTGTAAAAGCATTGTTTGGTCTGCTCTTGTCATTCAACTGGACTTGCTAGTGTCTGGACACCAGATCGAAAATGTTGTACCTTTAGGTTCCATTCAGTGTGTCTAGATATTCTTCTATTTATGGTGTCAATGAGAGAACCTGTGGGTAATCTCCTTTTTTATGACAATCACTATTCGAGAGAACCAAGCACTCTGTGAAGGCTGTGTGAGCCCATCCTCTAACATCCTCCATATAACAGTGCTGGCTACATCTCTAGTGCTCCAAGAAAGTTTTTTGGGTAGTTATTTTATCAGATATGCATCATCTGTATCTATGTGATATTGGGTGACTATTGTGCAACCCATTCATACATCTGATCCCACAAATACATTGGCTCATTCAGCCAGCAAATCACTGTATTGCTGCTACTGCATTGAGTGTGTATTTGTATCCTAATTCTTAGCTAGTGACCTCAGATATGTCATTAACCATGTACTCTATTCGGATATGGCGGGTAGGATGTAACCCTAGTGTTATCTCTAACCTCAGTTATTGTCACTTCTCACACCATGTGGATGACATTCTAATGAGAAGCTGGATAACTGGTCACCCATAATTACAGAACAACACTGGACTTCAGTCATTCTCGAGTTAATCCTGTTTCCTTTGTGAATAGGAAACATTACATGTATGTGCGCTATTACTGCACTACATGGCACTGATACATTAAATTTTGTTCATAGTAAGTCATGGAACATCATTTGTATACATGGAGGTATTGTGACTTCCAGTGCAACATATACTTGTATACATGGAGGTACCGTGGCTTCCAGTACAACATACACTTGTATACATGGAGGTACCATGGCTTCCAATTCAACATACACTTGTATACATGGAGGTACTGTGACTTACAATTCAACATACACTTGTATACATGGAGGTACTGTGACTTCCAGTGCAACATACACTTGTATACATGGAGGTACTGTGACTTACAATTCAACATACACTTGTATACATGGAGGTACTGTGACTTCCAGTGCAATATACACTTGTATACATGGAGGTACCGTGGCTTCCAATTCAACATACACTTGTATACATGGAGGTACTGTGACTTACAATTCAACATACACTT